AAATTGACATTGTGAATGGTGGAACTTTGATATACAGCCCAGGAAGGCATAACATTTATACCAATAGCTTTAACCTTTGAATATAACAGCTGATCATATTTTGAAAGAATAAAAAAAAAAAAAAAAAATGTAGCAAGTTTCATGAATTTCATTTTAGATAGAAAGGATCAAAACTTAATTATACTGTGACATAACCAACATATTAAGCAAATATTTCCTTGAAGACAGTGGTAATTTCTTTGTGCTATTACATTATGTGGTGCTGTGAGCTCAAACAAGGACATTATTGAAACTGTGGGAACCAACAACTACAATGGTGGAGATTGTAAAGGTGTATCATAGAAAAATGCAGTATATATGTTATAGAGTATTAATATTATCCAGATGTGTAAAAATGACAGGCAAGACGTTAGTGGTATGTGACATTACAAAGGTTCAAAATACATAGAGACAAAACAGTTGTTTGGAGGGCAGTGGTTATGTTTTTACAATAAATTTGGGTATAGCTGTTTTTTGTCAATGTCTCATATACATGTATATATGTATGCCTCATGTGTAATAGATGTATATAGGATTAACCACATACTCTGGCTATGACAAAAAGAATTTTCCTGAGGAAAAAATTATAAATAAAACATTCTGTCATCTGTAAATGGGGCATTGTGTATTACCTGGGCTTATTAACATCAAGTAGCCATGACACTGTTACTAACATTGTGTACCCATATATCATAATACCATTACAAATAGGAGGGGGATACAAATATCTTTAATGCTCAGGGGAAATTTTGTACAACTTACTTCCCAAGCACTGCCCGATATTGTTAAAGGGGAGATAACTCTTTAAGTGATTTAGTTTATATATTCAACTTATGTTAAGCAGTCATTGATGTTAAAGTCATAAAATGTAGAGTATTTTTCTTGCAATAAGACCATCCCTTGTATTAAGCGAACCCTGATATAATTCAGTAATAAGCCCACCCACTGACTTGCAAGAAAAAGTAGCATGACAGTCCCCTGGGATAAGAATAAATGTTGTACTGGGAAGTTTATAATTTCATGAAGCATTCAAGCTCAGCATATTTTTTCAAATTCTGTACTAGATATTGTAAAACTCATGAATTTTCATATTTGTTTTATTTTCGTTGAATTTGTGCTTACCCTTTATCAACAAATTCATAGATCCACGAAATGATGACCAGATTAAAATTGATACGAACTTCAATACATGCGGATTAAGTGAGTAATTGATATCCATGAAAATTTAGTGACAGCAAAAATGGAAAAATTTGAACCCCATGAATATAATGCTTTTACAGTATTCCTTCAAATCCTATGAACAACATATGCTATCCAAACTTCAATATCTAGTATCTGATTAAAGAAAATTCTATGAAGTAAAAAAAATTTAGAATGCCTGCATCTTACGATAGAATTTCGTCCACAATAAGTACAAAACTGAACTGTATTTTTTTGTGAAGTATCACTCTCAATTTATGCTGATCAAACTTGATTTCTATAAGTGAAGAAATGAACTACCTTCAAACTTGTTGAAATCAACTTCTAATGCTGTAACTGTACGCTGGTGTCAGTGATTTGTGTGTCCAGCTGGAACCAGCCACATATGTAATGTATTATTCTTATCTTTGGAAGGTTTTATGATCCAGCAAAATGATAAAATATTGAATAAATGACAACTAGAGTCAAAGATCAAATTGTTATCTGAAACCTAACTCTGCTTTCATGAGACCTGGAAAGTATTATTGTCTATATCTAATGCACAAATATCTGTATAATAAAGTCACCAGACAATGAAACACAATGGCCCTAACATTAATGATCTGTATGAAATAGCCAATTTGCTTTCAGCCAAAAGCTTTAATCTAAGCTACTAAAACAATTGTTTTGTGTGAGTCTTGAGTGGTGAAATTATATGTGGATGTATATTACACAAATTTTGTCATGAAATATATTATGATCCACACCTCGATTAATCTTTGAATGTAACCGGTTTCTATATCATGATCAATTCCTCGACTAATCTTTGAATGTAACCGGTTTCTATATCATGATCCACACCTCGACTAATCTTTGAATGTGACCTGTTTCTATATCATGATCCACACCTCGACTAACCTTTGAATGTAACCAGTTTCTATATCATGATCCACACCTCGACTAATCTTTGAATGTAACCGGTTTCTATATCATGATCCACACCTCGACTAAACTTTGAATGTACCGATTTCTATATTATGATCCACACCTCGACTAAACTTTGAATTTACTAGTCTCTATATTTTGTAATTTTATTTCACCCTTGAAGGAAGCAAAAAATTAACATCATCAAAATAAAAAACTTTGCAGTTTGTGATACCAGAATGAAGACATTTTGAGTGATCAGAAATTGTGAACATTTACCGTGATGTGGAAGATGGTTCCTCCATCTTGACAATGAAACACTGTTATTTCTGATAAGACTTATGGCATGCTTTTGTAACATACTAAAATTTTACTTGATAGAAAATCACTTTTGGACTTCATGACCTAGTTTTCTTCTATGAGGAAAAAAATTAATAGTAGTAAAAATGGTGATTGATACAATTCTGTATACTTTTTGTTACACGGGAGATACATGTAAATTGGATCAAAGCTGTCAGACTTTGCCATCTTCTTGTTTTATACCAGAATCCCATTGATAGTGCCAGATTTACAGCATATTTTTAAATGGTTTAAAGGTTCAAATTTTCCACATGACAATTTAAAAACAAATGTTTCTTCTCTGTTTTTTTTATAGAAGTTATCGAGCAGACCACACTTTCTTTATATATTTCATTGCTAAGGCAAAGAATTCAGCAATTGTCAGTAGTTTAGACCTTCCTGTTAATTATATAAGAGAATCATGGGGAATCATACATTCAATAACAGAAAAAGAACAATAAGTATAGAGGCTTATGATTGATAAATCGATATGCTGAGGGAGCAACTGTGAGCAATGATGAAAAAAGGTGGATGATAACTTCTATGTATAAAACATATATGTTGTATTTTAACATCGTACATGGATAAAGTTTAATATTTAGTAATAAATTCAATATTGATAGATAACAACAATTTCAGTTATTGAATCATTTTTCTAATATTATAAATGATAATCATTTGTAGAGTAATGAATGGTTTCACATATTGGTTGGTCAGTCCAACGTTATATGCATGAGCTAGACACCCTCCTTATATAGTTGATACCATTACTCGTTGTTACCAATAGTTTTGTTTAGAATTTGGTTCAATTTAGCCGACATTATGGGGCACTTAGTTGGACGACCAGGAGACAAAAGCTTAGACAATTGTAGCTAATAGGACACCCAGCGTGTGGGGCGGGTAATCTGATAGTATCTGTTAAGCAAAGGAGCGGAATTCCACAGCTATTTCATTTATTCCACAGCAGGCAGTGATTCTGGAGTTCTGCGTACACCAATAAGATTGAAAATCTTAGTCCCTTAGATGGTTGAAATAAATGATCACTGTGACTGTTTTAACACATTGCCTTTTTGACCATATTCATATGCTTCCTATTGGTGCAGTGGAAATGCTAAGAAAACTGAAATTTGATAGGAGCTTTACCATATATGTGCCTGTGTATCTGGTGGAATATTGTTATTTTTACTACAAAAGAGTTGGAGAGAGAGAGGGAATCATAGAATCAGGGATGGAGTCCCTGAATTGAACACTGAACATATGATCAGAATTAGATAATGCCATTCATTTATTTACTTTGGTTTTTTTAATTGTTTATCTGGTAATGGGCATAAGGGGGCCAACATAGAAAGTAAAGGAACAAGACTCATTACAAGAAAAGGTAATGTTATGTTTTGGTGATTTTATTGAACAGCAGCTTTGATATGAAACCATATTGGCTAACTGCATTGTCAGGTCATTGAAGTATATTGTTAGGAACTGTATTCATACAATGTTTTGTCAGATGGACAAGACTTTATAGTAACCAGACATAAATGCAAAACGAAAGAGATGGTAGAAAATCAAACTTGGCTGATTTAAAGGAGAAATCATTATAGAACAGACTTGTTGGTTTTAAGCATCTGACTGGTCGAGATAATGGACAGTGACAAATGAGCAAGGATGATGGGAAAAGTGTTTGAGAGGGAATGTGTCGTGTCTGGAGACACTAGGACCAACAGATTTTCACGGTAATGGGGTGGGAGACATACCAGACATCCGCCACAGTCAATCAGGTCAGGTCAGAAGATATTAGAACCTAGGAATTATTGTGTAATGGGGTGAGGTAAGGCGTGACAGACATTGAGACAAGGACAGAACTTTCAGTCATGGTGATGTTTGTCCTCCCTTATATAGACACGTGTTTAGTCAATATGTACTCAATTTATAGGGCTGATGATCCTCTTATTGATGTTCTGATGTACTACAAAATAGGCTGGTTTGCTTCAAAATCAAATGGCATGCTGCTGGATCTACTACTTTGGTGTTTGATCCTCGTTATTGGTAGGGTCATAGCCTAAGGCAGTGTTGGTAACCTGAAGCTTCGTCAGAGAATCCCTGTAACATAACATTGTATACATCCTTATTTCATTGGAATTCTCAAAGTAAACCTTCTTTAGGATTAATGCCATGAAAATGTCTACATGAACCCAAAAATTGTTTGATGCAACAGTATTTCATACAGACACAAAGCTCACTTCAACATAATATATACTTGATTTCTTATGTTCAATGATAACCCTGGAGATACTGTATCATTAGGAAATGTGTTGCCTAAGTCAGAAGGCAGATTTAATGAGGGAGTTTTTGATTGACTTATTCACTCTGGAGCTTCATTTCTTTTAGACAACTTTGGATCAGCGGTTGCCTGCGGTGACACTTGATCCTGTTATCAATGTATGTATGGTCAGGGCATTGTTCCGTGTGACTTTGGCTTGGTTATTGACTGAAAGTATAATATTTCTGTGTTCTTATCATTGCAGATGTCTCCTACACTGTTGAGGGAGCATCCCTCGAGCCAGTCATCGCAATAGAGAGCCACAATGTGCAGAAGCGAGCAATAGTTACGAACGACACAAACAGCGATGCGGGCATGATGACCGATGTGCCAACCAACAATCCAGTCCCAAATTCCACCAATGCTCCGACAACTGAAGCACCGGCCCCACCAACAACGGCAGCACCTGCTGTGACTACAAACGCTCCCTCTGGTGGTGGCATCTCAAGTGAATCACCAACACCGTTAACAACAACCATAGTTGTTAGTATACTCTCTCAGAAATGTCAATTTTTATCTTATTTTTGTCAAAATAATAATAAAGAGAAAACTAGTCATGCAAATTGTAGATTTAACTTTGAATTTAAATGTTGGGTTCAACTTTCCTGGTTTTCCATAAAAATGCATTTTTGTTGATAAATGATTTTGTGGACACAAAAATGATCTTACTCACTTTATCCACCTGGGTACAAAAGTTCTTGTCAGTTTTAAGGACTCACTACATAATCAATCACTATGTGTTATTATTTAGCACTTAAGCTAATTGCATTAATATTTTGAGTTCATGTGACAACTACTTTGATTCATTGAAACATACCTGAAAAAGGCTACAAATAACTAACATAGTAAATTAATTTGAGATTTTAGATTGTCTTTGCCTTCAAAAATCAACTACTGAAAGTTTTCAACATCCCTCTACAGATATCTTGGAAGGTCTAAAACCTATACATTTTCATGAAGCCCTGTATATACCTGCAGATTTCTATCACCATTTGTGAATTTAAACTTCCTAAGAGCACAATCTTTTACGGAATCTAAATTTAGATATGGACTCTTTTCATCTGGAGTTGGGGGTTGGGCTTATTACAGGACAATGAAATATATTAGCTTATTTTGGGATAAATATTGCAACAAAGTGTATATTTATTAACTCTCTTCATTAAGGAAAACTTTGTACTGCTCATTAGACAAATGTTTTCAATCAAAATTCGTTTTCAGGAACTTAATTTGTTAAAATTGCTCTCAGATATATGTTTCTTATGTTTGTATAGAAGTATGTATTTCATTTAGTCAAGATGGAGTCAATACAGTTGTCCAAGTCAAGAATTGATGATTATCGTAGAGTTGATCGAACATTTGCTTGCCTGGGTCGCAGTCTGTAGAAAACAGCGGCCGCTGTCATTTCAGTGTTGATCTCATTATAGCAATGAGGAAGTCATAAGATATATATATTGCGGTAATATAATATATGGAAGATCAGACCGCCTAGACATACAGAGACACAGACAGGTATTAATGATGATGGAGTTTCTCATCTGTGTTCATTCTGGACAACCAATGGTTAACCTCAGGTGGCAGAGGTGTGTATACGACTACACACTACATCTATAAGGGTCTGAGTAGCGTTGGGAAGTACTAGCCATTTGTCTTTGTTAAACCTCTGTTCTGTTGTAAAATCTGACAGGCAACAGAATTCCTGTCGGTCAGGAAGTATTAGTCTGGTATGAAATAACCTGTTTTGGTGTGGAGCATATTTAACTATACATGTATAGCTGAGTGGCTCTTTAAATAGATTGGGTTGTTTAGACTTCTAGGCCAATACACATAATTAAGACTCCCTTAAGACTACGGTTGATTTGACCAATGTCCAGTCTCCCTTAGGACTAGGGTTGAGTTGATCATTGTCCAGGGACCCAGTGACCAATGTCCAAATACTTGTGTTTTGGTCAGGTTTATACATTGGATGGGATGACTCAGCAATTCTACTTCCCTTTGCTATTAGATCCCTTAGCCAAAATTTCCAATATAGATGAAATTATCAGTGACTGTCAGCATTCCAGGCTGCAGCCGTGAATAGAAGCTGGCCATGCATGGTCAGTTAGCCAATCAGTGTGAAAATCTTATTAGTTCTGACCACAATATGTAGCTGGTCAGGAGTTTGATATAAAAGTCATACTGGTAATTAACAGGAGATTGGGGGTTGAGGGGTGACATCAGGAGGTAGGTATAAAAGTCATACTGGTAATTAACAGGAGATTGGGGGTTGAGGGGTGACATCAGGAGGTAGGTATAAAAGTCATACTGGTAATTAACAGGAGATTGGGGGTTGAGGGGTGACAGTAGGAGGTAGGTATAAAAGTCATACTGGTAATTAACAGGAGATTGGGGGTTGAGGGGTGACAGTAGGTAGGTATAAAAGCCATACTGGTAATTAACAGGAGATATGGGGTTGAGGGGTGACAGTAGGTAGGTATAAAAGTCATACTGGTAATTAACAGGAGATTGGGGGTTGAGGGGTGACAGTAGGTAGGTATAAAAGTCATACTGGTAATTAACAGGAGGTTGGGGGTTGAGGGGTGACAGTAGGTAGGTATAAAATTCATACTGGTAATTAACAGGAGATTGGGGGTTGAGGGGTGACATCAGGAGGTAGTTATAAAAGTCATACTGGTAATTAACAGGAGATTGGGGGTTGAGGGGTGACAGTAGGAGGTAGGTATAAAAGTCATACTGGTAATTAACAGGAGATTGGGGGTTGAGGGGTGACAGTAGGAGGTAGGTATAAAAGTCATACTGGTAATTAACAGGAGATATGGGGTTGAGGGGTGACAGTAGGAGGTAGGTATAAAATTTATACTGGTAATTAACAGGAGATTGGGGGTTGAGGGGTGACATCAGGAGGTAGTTATAAAAGCCATACTGGTAATTAACAGGAGATTGGGGGTTGAGGGGTGACAGTAGGAGGTAGGTTTAAAAGTTATACTGGTAATTAACAGGAGATTGGGGGTTGAGGGGTGATAGTAGATAGGTATAAAATTCATACTGGTAATTAACAGGAGATTGGGGGTTGAGGGGTGACAGTAGGTAGGTATAAAAGTCATACTGGTAATTAACAGGAGATTGGGGGTTGAGGGGTGACAGTAGGAGGTAGGTATAAAAGTCATACTGGTAATTAACAGGAGATTGGGGGTTGAGGGGTGACATCAGGAGGTAGGTATAAAAGCCATACTGGTAATTAACAGGAAATTGGGGGTTGAGGGGTGACAGTAGGAGGTAGGTTTAAAAGTCATACTGGTAATTAACAGGAGATTGGGGGTTGAGGGGTGACATCAGGAGGTAGGTATAAAAGCCATACTGGTAATTAACAGGAGATTGGGAGTTGAGGGGTGACAGTAGGTAGGTAAAAATGTCTTATGGTAATTAACAGGAGATTGGGGGTTGAGGGGTGACATCAGGAGGTAGTTATAAAAGCCATACTGGTAATTAACAGGAGATTGGGGGTTGAGGGGTGACAGTAGGAGGTAGGTTTAAAAGTTATACTGGTAATTAACAGGAGATTGGGGGTTGAGGGGTGATAGTAGATAGGTATAAAATTCATACTGGTAATTAACAGGAGATTGGGGGTTGAGGGGTGACAGTAGGTAGGTATAAAAGTCATACTGGTAATTAACAGGAGATTGGGGGTTGAGGGGTGACAGTAGGAGGTAGGTATAAAAGTCATACTGGTAATTAACAGGAGATTGGGGGTTGAGGGGTGACATCAGGAGGTAGGTATAAAAGCCATACTGGTAATTAACAGGAGATTGGGGGTTGAGGGGTGACAGTAGGAGGTAGGTTTAAAAGTCATACTGGTAATTAACAGGAGATTGGGGGTTGAGGGGTGACAGTAGGTAGGTATAAAAGTCATACTGGTAATTAACAGGAGGTTGGGGGTTGAGGGGTGACAGTAGGTAGGTATAAAAGCCATACTGGTAATTAACAGGAGATTGGGGGTTGAGGGGTGACATCAGGAGGTAGGTATAAAAGTCGTACTGGTAATTAACAGGAGATTGGGGGTTGAGGGGTGACAGTAGGTAGGTATAAGAGTCATACTGGTAATTAACAGGAGATTGGGGGTTGAGGGGTGACAGTAGGTAGGTATAAAAGTCATACTGGTAATTAACAGGAGGTTGGGGGTTGAGGGGTGACAGTAGGTAGGTATAAAATTCATACTGGTAATTAACAGGAGATTGGGGGTTGAGGGGTGACATCAGGAGGTAGTTATAAAAGTCATACTGGTAATTAACAGGAGATTGGGGGTTGAGGGGTGACAGTAGGAGGTAGGTATAAAAGTCATACTGGTAATTAACAGGAGATTGGGGGTTGAGGGGTGACAGTAGGAGGTAGGTATAAAAGTCATACTGGTAATTAACAGGAGATTGGGGGTTGAGGGGTGACAGTAGGAGGTAGGTATAAAATTTATACTGGTAATTAACAGGAGATATGGGGTTGAGGGGTGACAGTAGGTAGGTATAAAAGTCATACTGGTAATTAACAGGAGATTGGGGGTTGAGGGGTGACAGTAGGTAGGTATAAAAGTCATACTGGTAATTAACAGGAGATTGGGGGTTGAGGGGTGACATCAGGAGGTAGGTATAAAAGTCATACTGGTAATTAACAGGAGATTGGGGGTTGAGGGGTGACATCAGGAGGTAGGTATAAAAGTCATACTGGTAATTAACAGGAGATTGAGGGTTGAGGGGTGACATCAGGAGGTAGTTATAAAAGTCATACTGGTAATTAACAGGAGGTTGGGGGTTAAGGGGTGACAGTAGGTAGGTATAAAAGCCATACTGGTAATTAACAGGAGGTTGGGGGTTTAGGGGTGACATCAGGAGGTAGGTATAAAAGTCATACTGGTAATTAACAGGAGATTGGGGGTTGAGGGGTGACAGTAGGTAGGTATAAAAGCCATACTTGTAATTAACAGGAGATTGGGGGTTGAGGGGTGACATCAGGAGGTAGGTATAAAAGTCATACTGGTAATTAACAGGAGATTGGGGGTTGAGGGGTGACATCAGGAGGTAGGTATAAAAGTCATACTGGTAATTAACAGGAGATTGAGGATTGAGGGGTGACATCAGGAGGTAGTTATAAAAGTCATACTGGTAATTAACAGGAGGTTGGGGGTTAAGGGGTGACAGTAGGTAGGTATAAAAGCCATACTGGTAATTAACAGGAGGTTGGGGGTTTAGGGGTGACATCAGGAGGTAGGTATAAAAGTCATACTGGTAATTAACAGGAGATTGGGGGTTGAGGGGTGACATCAGGAGGTAGGTATAAAAGCCATACTGGTAATTAACAGGAGATTGGGGGTTGAGGGGTGACATCAGGAGGTAGGTATAAAAGTCATACTGGTAATTAACAGGAGATTGGGGGTTGAGGGGTGACATCAGGAGGTAGGTATAAAAGCCATACTGGTAATTAACAGGAGATTGGGGGTT